GACTTCTGTGTTCATGGATAGTTAACTTGTAGTTTATTTTCGTCGTTTATACATAAATTGCACGGTTTTTTAGATTATATCGCGTTATGAACGATTTATGTATGATCTTATGTTGAATGTTGTATTTTTAGAAACTGTTTACAAAAAATGTAATAACATATAAAAGATGATAAAATTATATATATATATATAAAAGGAAGAAACATCAACAAAATCCACCATTCAATGGGCAACCATATGCATATGGGCTTCTTTCATAAGAAAAATTCTAATCAAATCTCTTACAATAAATACCCTTTACCTCACACAAAAATGAAATAATTAACAAATAAATCAATTTTATCATACAAGTTATCGAACTTTTTTGTTCGTAATCATAAAATAGCTATAAAATAGCTACTCAATCGAATAAATCTGTTACTTAGTTGAATTTAGATTGGAGGACAATACACCTCACTTCTCCTGGAGGATTAGTCCCACACTTCTCGGTGTGGATCCCTCGGGCCTAACCCTCCTGGAGGATTAGTCCCACACTTCTGGGTGTGGATCCCTAGACCGTTAGGCCCGTAATTTATAGGTAGGGAAATGGATCAATAAAAATTAAGTTAATCACAATTTCACAATATAAGTTCGAGCCTGATAGAAACAGATTTTTCTCAGATTCAATATCGTCGGAGCAAAATGAAGACTGAGCGCATCTTAACATTTGTCATTTTAATTTTATATAAAGATTTAATACTTCAAGAAAAAACACAAAACAAAAATATAAAAAAAATTATAACATAAATATACATTTTTTATAATAAAATATGATGGGCCGACCAGCCTAATGGTTAAATCGCCTTACACAAATTAAAAGGTCAAACACACAGGAATAATGTGTTATGTACACCCCTGCGTACAATATCATGTACCTATATCATTACTAAAAAAAACACACACTTTAAGCAGATAAAAAGGTATAAACTCCAAGAAATTGATCCATCATAAACCAAGAAGTCCACAATAAAAAAATCAAGAACAATATAAAGCTATAAACTCCAATAAATCTACAATTAAAAATCAAGAATCACACAAAGCTACAAACTCCAGTCAAAATATAGCAGAAAAAAGGAAGACTTTTTGCTGTACACAATTGGGTCTGCAGATGAAACTCCTCAGTCGACTATACATAAATATGCAAAGGTCTTTTTTTTTTACGGCCATTTTCTATAGAACAGACCGCTATTAATCTACAGCAGGGTAATTGAAATACGAACCTTTTTTTTCTTAATTATTATTCCGGTCAGCAGCAGTTGAAATTCGGTACTTTCAATTCTAACAAAGTGATCTATTTTCCGGTCACATTCACAGTTGGGCCCAATATCTACTTCCCGTGCTTTTTTCCAGAACGTTGCTTCCATGCACTCTGCAAACACCAAACAGAACAAAAGTATTAGCAGAAAAAAAAAATAAAAAAAAAAATAAATGGTCATTAGAGGTTCAGCCTAATCACAAAAACACCCAGTTAAAAATCCAAAATTTCAAATAGACCCCATCTGCAGGTCTCAACATAACAGGCCTCAAAGGAGTATTTTCTGTTAACACACAGAGGAACTTTTCTGCAATATCTGAAATTAACAACTGGGACATTTTCGTAACTAAGTCAAACCTCAAGGGTACTTTGGAAATTGTCATCGAGCAATATTTTACGAGCAAAATGCTGAAAGTTACAAAATACAAAATTTCAAAATAGACCCCATCTGCAGGTCTCAATATAAAAGGCCTCAAAGGAGTATTTTTCGTTTAACACGCAAAGGAACCTTTTTTTGCAATGTCTAAAATTAACAACTGGGCCATTTTCGTAACTAAGTCAAAAACCTCAAGGATATTTGGCAATTATCGTGAATAATATTTTACGAGCGAAATGCTGACCAGAGTCTCATCATCTGAAAACTCTGCATCGACAGTATCAGAACTCAAGTCCTTGCCGGGCTTTTCGCCGGGCTTTTCCGAGCTGTCCGCCTCATCACTCCATTCAGAATATTCATTGTTCTCATTATTAGATGATGATGATGCATTAGCTTCATCCAATTCTTGTTCATAGTATAAGTACTCCACGTCAGTAGTAGGAGTTTCTTCCTTGTCCGATAGCTCCATAGACTTCTCTACTCTTTCCTCCTCTTCCTTCTCTGTGTTGCCAGAAAACAAGCGTGTAAAAAAAATGTATTGTTCGATTAAATGGTCTAAACTAGGAAAAATACCAATAAGTTTCCACTTTCAAAATAAGCAATAAAAAAGATATCACTTCGAGAGAAAAGGGCACACCACCATTTACAGAGAATTTAGGCGCCAAAAAAAAAAAAAAGGAAGAATGGCACTCGACTCGGGATATAAAAGTTAATAAAGTAGTTTGGAACATCACCTGAGACTGAATCAGCAGAAGGCGAAATGGGATCAGATTCAGGGGGGGCAATATCTGGGATTGTTGGCTTCTTGAACGGATTTTTTCGTGGAGTTCTCTTTCCTCGTACTTGAGAAGTCAGAGATCTGCCAGTAAATTTTAGTTACATAAAATGAGGAAAAAAAGGTGAAAATAATCAAATATATATATGTATAAATAAATAAATGAATGCCTCAGTTTTAATTGGTGATAAGTGGGACCAACTCACGTTTCAAAATTTTCTTCTTGTTTTGGGGTTCGGCTTGAATTATTTCCTTTCCTGGATGACCTGCATGTAAAACAAATTAATGCACACGAAACAACCGACTCCTCACGCGCAGAAAATACGCACGTGCAACTGTGCAAGTGTAAAAAAAGGAAACTATATGAAATGTAGTATTTGCATGATCGGAGTATAAAAGCATGAGGTTTAGATGACGAATAATTTCCTAAAAATCAACTATATCTATTAAGAATATGATTTCTATACATTATTCATTCCAATCGTAAATGGGCATTATTGCTCTTGCTTAGGCATGCACTTGCTTGAGAACAATGGTTGTGAGGGAGGGAAAAGTTATACAAGAAATGTAAACCATGTAGTAGACAGAATTCATTCGGAAGATCAAAATATTTTGATTTCTATATTATATAAGCTATGCACACGTTTTCCTCAGAATAGAAACAATTATTCCCATAAGGTCCAAATGGGAAAACAAAGGAAAACAAATTCATCGATTCGAAATAATTTTTTGAAATAATATCATGTATAGATCCAAAAGGACGTCTAAGATTGAACTTTTAATAATCGTTCGATATCAATGGACTTCTCAATACAAGGATTTGACAACCACAACCATTCATTAAACTCATTTGGATACACAGATTTCGGCTCCTAAGCTACAATTCTGAACTTTTTTTTCGTTTCGTTATGGTAAACTTCAGATTCTTCAGTCCAAATGTATCATAAAAGTAGTTACGCAATATTACCTTAAACTAGTGTGGTTGATAACTAATGGAAGGACTTTATAATGTTGAGTGAAAAATAATACTTTTGGGGAAAGAAACATCTTAAGAAACGTGTAAATATTTTTTAACTTCTTAAGACACGGAATCTTAGCAATAAATAACAGATGAAGTATATATGAAGCGCAAGTGTACATTACTAAATTCGACAAACAAAAACATCTCTGGTCACAAATTACATAGGAAAAAAAATCAAAACTTCTACCATTTATTCTAATGCAATCAGAAAGAGCAATACTTTCGATTTCAAAATTTCCCTATAAATCATTGTCGATGAATTGTTGAATATATTGTAGAAACTAATTAACTTACATGGCTAAAAGCACTAAGAACACCACAAGCAAAAATGAAACATACGTATTTTTCAGAGTGAAATATTGATTTAGGGACGGTAGGTTTTACGGGGAAATGATTATTATTAATAAGAAATCAATATCACTATCACAACAAGGGACGGAAGTTGGATTGTGATATATAAAATGAAAATAATAACCATAGATCATCTCCCCAATTGGGGTATATATGGATTATTCCAACCTTCTAGTATCTCAAAACCAAATCCCAACAAAAACTCCAACCTAAACATTTTATTTCCCGATTAAACCCATTCCCCATTCCATAAGTAGACTACCAAACACCCCCTTATTCTTCTACCCCTTGATAAGCTTATATCACAAATTCTACGAAGGTCAAATATTCTCTCTCTCGTTACTGATATTATGATAATGTATTTACAGTTTCTCATATAGTTATGATCTTTAAGTATGTACATATAGTTACATGTGTGTGTAAACATGCAAATTCATATTTAGAAATGGTGGCAAGACTATGAAGGGGGCAAAAAGAAAAATTTGCACCTCAAAGAGAAAGTAGCTGTAGTTCTCAAATATTGGACATATATCTTATACTATAATACAACATTGACTTATTCTTACCATTACACAATAGTGAATAGTTAGAACTCCGTAAATCATAAAGCAACACATAAATGGAAAATCGAGGGATGAGTAAATGAACATGAAGCTGCAATTTTACAAGTGTAAATGCAGGTTATATGGTGGAGCACTAACCCTCCATTCCGAGATAAGCCTTTTGATGAACCAGATCCCTGCAAATGGCAGTGAAGATGTCGTCAAATATTTGCGTAAAAAAATTTGAGTAACAAAAAAAACCTAACTAAACATTACTGCCTAAGAGGACAATAATTAGTGAGTGTATAGACATTGACGGTTGACCTTTGGATCGTTATCGACAAGCTCCCAGCGTTCCTTTTCTAATCGAAGAACTTCCACATCCCCATCATCATACAATATCTTCAGATTTCGGAACCAAAAAATAAAGGATCAATTGAAAAGAGAAAATCGTGAGAATTGGTTAAGAATTATGTAAAAGGGTGCAAACAGAACACTTAAAAATGTGGCATACATACCACATGCTTCTTTTTCTCAGTATCGAACGACTTCACAACACCTTCATAATACCTGTGCAAAGAGTCAGATAGGTATAACATATTGTCATTATAATTCGAAGATTAATCAAAATCATTAGGGGATGTTTAAATACAAGAATTTTTTTGTTTTGGTTTGGTTAATTTTGAAAAATGTGGTCTCATTAGTTGTTAGTGGGTAATATTAAAATAATATTTAAATAAAACAATCAAAGTTGTTTTGATGTAAAAGTATGATTGAGGGATGTGAAATGATTAATGTTAAGGTCAGAGAGGCTGCCTGATTAGAATTCTTAAATGGAGTTAAATGAAAAAAAAAAAACATTTAAGTGGAAATATCTGCAGAGAGAATAACATTATATATGCTGGTCTAACCTTATAAACCTTTTCCCTATGGTTATAAGTGAGACAAATAGACACAAATTTGAGAACACATTGAAAACAACTTACTCCTTATCCATCGGCCACCAAACTTTTATTCTGCGACCAATTAAGTCTTCAGCAGAAGTTCCATTTTCATTGGTCGTACACTAATGATGGCAAAAAAAAAAAAAAAGTGAAAAAAGACAGAGAAAGATCAGCCAAAACCAATTTATGCTTCAAGTAAACAGAATTAAAGATCACTTTTTACTCAGAACGAGAGAGAGAGAGAGAGAGAGAGAGAGAGAGAGAGAGAGAGTAAAATTGCAAGCAATTATTTGGGAAAGAAAGTTTTTAACAACATTAACTGATAAACTCTGAAAAAGGTCCTCAGAAATTGTAATTATGTATTATTCTGTGAAATATTGAACCTTAAGGCAAGGGAATAAACAGTATAGAGATTCAATAATGACAATATTTCGACTACGGTATAAATCACAAGCGTTCGATGTTCCAATCAGAAAGCAAAATATGGATGCACTTATTAAACAAAATATGTACAAGCACGTAGTAAAATATTATTTACAGTCACCTGCCTCTTCTATTTAGCATGTCCTTACTCACAATCTCAAAGGACTTCACGAGAGATGAGAGATATATGACGCACTAACCTTTCCCAACCCACCGAAATCTTTTGATTTCTGCTTCTTCTTCATGGATCCTAACTTGGAATCAACGATTGAACGTGGGCTATTATCAGTATCCGGGACTTTCTTGGGCCTCTGCACGCCATAAAATAAGGTGAAAAAATAACATAATAATCATGAAACGCCATATCCATTCCATGAATTTCATCTTGTTGAAAAAAGCATACCTTAGCTTCTGAGGAGATGTCAAGTGCCTCAACAGGATCTCTATCAGATATTCGTTTACCTTTCTGCTTATTAGAGGAAGAGCCGAGTTTCTTTCTGATACGGGAAAACAGCATTTCTGACTCTGGTTGTTCATCAGTTTTCTCTTCCATATGTTGATCCTCCGAACCTGTTTGAGGCTCCTCTTTCATCTTTTCAAAGTCCACATCAGCATTCTCATTATTCAAATTAGTAGCCTTCCTAGAACCCTTTGAACTAGCAGAAGATGTTCTCTTACGCTTGGGCACGGGAATATCGTTCGACTCACCATTCAACCTTTGACTCTTATGGAGCTCGGCCTGACTTCTCTTTCTGCTAGCATCATCAAGACCGTTGCTAGAATCGAGCTTGACACTTGAGTCAAAATTGTCCGAATTTATTTCCTTGACCATTTTCAAGATATCAAAATCGTTTTCTTTCGAAACACCATCTTGTGGGGGCTCATTCTTAGCTGCCTTCTTGATCCTTGCAGCCTTGGCTTTTAGGATTTGCATCAACTTCCCAAGTGGCATCTCATTGTCCTCTGTTTCACTGTCCTTAAAGATATCGTCCTCCGAAACTACGGGATGAACCTGAAGTGAGACCAATACCTTGCAATTAGACCTTGTAATGCAAAAAAGGAAAAGTTACAGCAACTAGGTAGAATAATTTATCAAGACTCACAATTTCAGTAGGTTCAAGTTCAAGTGATTCAAAGTGGGACAAGATGACCTCATCCACCTGCCTTGTTTTCTCTTCACTCCCCTAATAATATCAACGAAAAAGTTAGCAATCATTTGACAGTCATAATTAAGCAACTAAATATAACTTGGAGATACATATTTCATCATTCTTCTGTAAAATGAGCAAAAGAGACTGAAAAAAATATGCTTTTGTTCTGTCTGTGGCTGGACAGGAGAGAGGTCAACAGCTACTTTCCATCAACGAGCTTCTTTCAACATAGATGATTATATTTGCCCTTAAGATACTAGCAGTTTTCAGACCTGAACATGTGCCCTCATTCTGATCTCTAAATGCATCCAAAATTAGGATTCTAGTCGATAATTTCAGCAAATATGTGTTTGATTGCTGAAGGTAAGCAACTCACGCAAAAAGGGCAATATCAACCGTAGCAAAACACTAAAAACGGACATTTCTGATCATCTAGGTCTAAACTCTGATGGAGAAGTTCCAGTTGAAGATAATTTTTGTTTAAGCTAATTATACGGAGCTGAACAAACCCAGGTAGAGTAATAATACAAAGTCTATCAATAGTCATGTTTAATCTCGTTGATTCATAAGTGAAGACTTGAAGAAAGAGATACAACATCAATTCAATAATCATACATACCATCGAGTCGTTTTCTTCTTTCTTCTCAAAAGGTTTAAAAAGAACAGGGGGTAGGGCCACAGGCACACCCAAATCTTGAAGTTCATCTTGGTTTGCAGCTATCCTCTTAATAACTAGCAAACCAAGGTCACACAGGGCATACAAATTCTGCAATATGTGATTTCGATGTTAAAAGTTTGCACTAAAATAACAATTAACTCATGAATATGCTAGTTATACATCATATTTTATCGAATAAATCAATAATCTGTCCTCTGTCCATCTGTTCCCATAAGTTGGGAGGTTTTCCATTAAGTCAAAAACCCATAACCGACAGTTTTCAGTCAAAAAGAATTTCCCATCAGATGAGATGGTAAAAGGACATGAAATACACCTAACAGTAATTAATATCAAACCTTGGACTTAGCCGGGTCAATAGCATCTTCTGAGCGCCTGATAGATTGAAAAATTGAACACAGCAATTTAAGGCTCTCCTTGTCCTTGCTAATACTAACATCAGATTTGCCATCTGCATCTTCATGCAATAGCATAGATAGGAACAAGTACAACTTCCTGAAAAAAAGATACACACACATCAAATACAGAATTATGAAACCCTCACTTAAAAGAATCAATTAATTAAAAAATAGCTAGAAGACATCATTGCGAAGTACAAACCAGTTGAATAACCCTCACCAAAAAATTTCAACATACCTGAACATGGGTTCATATGATTTGACATCTTTGCATTCATTAATATCAGGGAAAGAAGGATGATGAGCAAGTGAATGAACCACATATGGGAGAATGTGTTCTGGATAAAGGGAAGGTGACATCATAGCATCAGCCTGTAAAGAGGTTTGGCGTCCCTTCCCCTGCCGACACATTTGGATTGTGTCATTCAGATAGCGCTTACTCTGCCAAACAGAAAAACATATGCGAATTATAAACATTTCGCAGTTTCATGTTTTAGATGAAATGTATCTACACAACCAAGATTTAAAAAAAAAAAAAAAAAATACATCATGAATTAGCATACCTCTTTGAAATCTGACTGTGAAGCTGAAACATCCAGCAAGAAGGCAAATGCATACTTCGGGTCTAAAATTCGGTCCTTCACATATTGATGAACTTTGCTGAGAAGCAATTTTTTTACCTCAGGAAAGTTGTCCTACAAATCCAATGGCAAAGGAGTTTAAGCAATTATTGGTAGTTGGTTCATAAAGGGAATACAACAGGAAATTCCCCATGCGTGTTCAGAGAAGTAAACTACCTCTGAAGTTCTTAATGCAAGGTAAAGAACATCAACAGGAATCTTATGCTCCCAGTGTTTTGATAGGCGAAGGACCGCTTTTGCTGCAGCTAGTTTCAAATGTGCCTTATCAACTGAACTGTAACATTGATAAGGAAACCGGAAAATCTTAGGCCATAACAGGGATACGATTAAATAACTCATAACCATGAAATCTCTTAAAAGAATGCAAAACTAACCTCGACTCAACTTCTTTTGAGATATCACCAAAGAGAAGTATATTTTTGATTATACTAAGGACATCATCAATTCCTGACCGAAGGTGCACATCTTTCACAGGTAAATAGCTCTTGACCAATGCTTTAAGGCCAAAAATCTGCAGACAATTTAATGGTCATTTATTGCCTAAGGTGTTTCATGTTACAAGAGAACAATTCTATTGAGAGACAAAATATATGAAGTATTGCAAGACCTTTAAAGAACAAAGTTCACTTCTATCATCCCAACAAGCATCCGCCTTGTCTTCGGTTATCTGTGCCGACACAACTGTTATAACAAATATATAATATGAAAAGAGAACATAGAAAACAAAAGTCTTTCAAGTCTAAAGGCATACATGTCCCAGCTTCAATATGTGTTCCTTAATGAATATCTGAATCTCAGTTTCTCTTGTTTCAAAGACTGGCATAGCAGCTTGTGCTATGCATCCGAGAGATTGTAAAACAGCTGGCAAGTGGGATTTCTCTTCAAGCATGTCAACTAGCCTCTATTGTTTAGAAGAAAAGACGAAATCAACAGAACTTTCACAGCGTGAACATGGAAAAAAGGAGAGCAAATGAGAATGAGAAAATATAATGATTGCAGAAAGGAAAAAACAAGCATGGACAAAACCTTGTAAAGGACAGAGAGTGACTTAAGACCATCGTCTTTTGTGATGGATGCCAGGGCATGAACAGCATACTTAGCCTGCCTTCGGCTCCCTTCAATGCTTATGCGCTCCAGAATAAGGTCTAATGATCTATAAGCATAATTAATGAAATTAAGAAAAAGATGGACATCCAAAAAATAATTGAAGAAGAAGAAGAAGAAACAGGAAGGTTAAGAAATTTATAAATATTCTAACCTTGATGAGACACCCAATTTGTCTCTGATAGTTCCCCCAGCCCTAGCAAGAATATGCAAGGTGCCCTCCTTAATTATTTCATTGTCATCCTCAAGTAATTGGCCCAAATCTTCTTCAATTCCACTAAGCAACAGAGGACAAAATCGTGCTAGAATCTGGGATTTAAACAAAAAAAAAAGTTCAAAGATTTTTTTGTCAGTGAATATAAATTCAAGAAACAAGATCAAATTCATTCAAGAGACTTTAAGAGCAGTGACCATATATCCTTTCTTCTCAAGAGTCATGAATATTATGTGAATCAAATGGACTGGTATGGTAGGGAAGTCCAGATGGAGAATTGATACGCAAGAACTTTCATTTTAGTTCTGGAATAGGAAGATGTGACTGCTAACGAGCATTTCCCCAAATTAACAACATTCACTCACCTTCACTTTTTTTTACCCCCACCAGTCATTTCTATTCACTAAAAGAAACATCAAATCACCAATCATTATGCAGTTCCTAATAGATTCTACTATTCGCTCACATGTTTCTGGTTACCAATCCTTGTTTTACGATTTCTTTAGCATATATTCAGATTAAGTTTCATTATTACAATTTTATCTCATATCCCAACACACTCTTAAAATTTATCCTTCTCCTTTATAAAAATGTTTTCACCACTATTCTCTAGCAAGCAAAAGAAATCCAAAATGAACAGGATAACACCCTCAGTTTTTTATTTGAAAACAAGAAATGACAATACAATACTAGCATTACTCAGGCCTCCATCTAAGTACGATAATGATAAACCATCATAGCTCATCAACTAGCAATCAATCTCAACCAAGTGACCAACATCAGTCATTTGAAGTTTGCAATTGGTGGTTCAAGCTCAATATATATATATATACATATATATATATATACATATATATCAACATACCCAGTATATTCCCAAACAGGTTGGGGTCTGGGATATATATACATATATATATATAATTATTTGAAAACATCAAATAACAATACAATACTAGCATCATTCACATCTCAATCTAAAAATGATAGTGACAGCCCATCTTAGCTTTACCATTATATATATATAATTTTTTTATTTGAAAACAAGAAATAACAATACAATACTAGCATCATTCACGTCTTCATCTAAAAACGATAATGATAACCCATCTTAGCTCGGCAACTAGCAATCCATCTCAACCAACATCACACAATCACTTGCGGTTTGCAATTCATGTTTTCCACATTGGTTGTTACAAAATTGTTAAAACGGATGTCAAAATAATACAAGATATAATCAGCTAGGTTTATATGAAAGCAATATAACAATAAGATAATATACCACAAGAATAGCCATGCAGGACAAAATTAACTCGGTGGTTCCAGAGGACTTCTGCACATGAGCTTCCAGAAGAAACTCTCTGACATGATCTTTGTCAAAAAGCATATAAGAGCACTTCAAAGAGACTGCACCCAGAAACTCATGGAGTTGATGCTTCTGACCAAGGATCTTTAGCAAATCGTCCTGCATAGGTTTATGGTATCAGAGAAAACCTCATATATGATTGTGCAAGCATCATTTTAATAGAATCGAGAATAAAGATTAATTAGAAGAAAACCGAAGTGATTTCTGATTCCATTTTAGTGCCTTACTCGTAAACTACTGGCTTGAAGCGCGCTGGTGTTTGGGTCACTGAGGTGTGTCAAATTTCTCCAAATTTTGGCATCTTTTAACTGGTCAAGAATCTGAAAATTCTCCTCTGACTTTGGAGGATCACTAAAGCAGCGAGACATGACTCGGAACGAAAACATTACTTTCTTTCTTCTATCAGTGTCATCACCTTCCTGAATACATGATAAAAGGATTAAATATTTTCACAAGCCAAAGAATGAGAAATGTACAATCCCAAGTAGCAAACCTGAGACAACTCTCTGACGGAGAGGTACTTCTGCATCTCTTGTTGTAACCTACACCACAGGTGTAAACATGAAACATATAGTTTGAAAATCATATGGTAGAAAGCAGAAACTAGAATAAAAATTTAAAATAATAATAATAATAATAATGTACGTCAACACAAGCAGTTTTTGCAAACCTTTGCTTCTGCTCTAATATCTTCTCAAGAGCCTTAACCTCAACTTTATCGAATGCAGAGAACAACCTAACCCATCTAGCTACCTTATCTTTGACAGAAAATTCAGCTGGGAACAAGGACAGAGATAGGATAGGTTCAATTGTATCTAATCTGCAAAGAGAAAACCAGGTCCCAGGATCATATATGAGAAATTGCAAATCAAAACATTTGATTTGAAGTATCATCGGCACCTAAAGTGGTCTACGCTTTCACTTATTCGACAATTCCTAGAAACACTTCTTTTAATTTTTTCATAGCTTTTAGTAGCTTTAGTTTGCCTAGAGCAGCGGATGAGATCAATTATATTGTTACTTTCTTTGTAATGCATTTTTGGATTGGTCACATAGTTCAGTCAGGACACGTAAACTAAATCAACTAATCATCCAGAATCAAAATCCATTAACCTACCTGAAATCCTTGTCATAAAAGCATCGCAATATCTTCCCCACAATCCAATCATATTCATCGTCCCTTGTCGAATCACTAGAATGCTGAATGCAAGACACTTGGTATATGTCAGCCAACCTCTCCATAGTATACCTTTTAACCAGAACCTGAATTATTGCAGCAAAAATTATCAAACCGATTTTTGGCAATGAAAAAAGAGCTGCTTAGACAAAAAAAAAAATGAAAAAGAGCTGCTTAGACAAACAGTCGCACATACAGATTTATCACGAAGGCGTTCTGAGATCATCTTGATGGTTTCAATAGGAATGGATTTGAGAGAATGACATGCCACATCACAAACCACAGCAACAACTTGTTTACGAACATTTTCATCATAATCCAGCAAACGGTCACAGAGAGCAGCTGTTGGGTTTAATTTTATCATCAGAATAAAGACCACATGGAAAATAGGCTCTAATCAGTAGCAGCAAATGCTTACAGATTATTTGATGAGTTTCGCCTCTGAAAGGATTCTCCAAAAGGCAAGTTTTAACGTAGTCAAGGACGGTCATTCTAACATTGACCACTCTATCAGTCAGCCTTTTCAGAAACTCCGAAAAGACCGGCTCAAATGCTTCAGAAATAGAAGGTTTAGGCAAAGCAAAGAGGTCACCAACTAATCTCACTGCTTTCAGGCGAACCTCCACTTGATCACTCTGTCAAAGTCAGACAAAGCTGATGAACGCTCTAAACATACACGACTATGGAAACTAAAATATGAACAATTATGACTGTCAATCAAAATCAACGATTTTGCCCAAATGAATATATATTGTTTGTGTAGATGGTGAAGAGATTTTAAAGCACGTCAATTGCAACTCTACAAAATGAATAAAAAAAGTTTCAGAATAATAGCCGACGTCAGGTCCTCTCACCTAAAGGACAAAGAGCGACAATAAACACATTTGAGCATGCCATATTTAGAACCACAACTCAGAGTCTCCTTATCACACGAGAACCATTAGATACACGAAAGCAATTAAAGATGATTACCAGCAGCTCTCCGGTGAGATACGGAACAACTCCAGACAAGATTTGAGGGGCGCATTTGTAGATATCATATATAACAGCGTGATAACTAATCTCAGGCTTAAGGGGTCTGCTATCCCCCGACATTGATGACACAAGAAATTGCTTTATGCCAGGTTCCAGTTTTGAAGCACAGTTCTCTATCACATTCATTGCAAGTTTCCTTGCAGCCACAGTTACATCCTAGCAACCAAGAAAAAAATAGACAAAAAAATAAGGGAAAGACAAAAAAAACTCAGATCAATAAAAACTGAGTGGGGTAAGGGAAGAGGAGCACCTCCTTATCACGGCCTAAAATAGACAACAAAATAAACAATAGACTCTCTGGTACATCTTCACATTCATCTAACAGAACCTCCATTATCGTCTGCATTGAAGTCAACACATTCCCAGGATGCTCGTCCCTGCATGCCAAGAAAATACAAGGTAAATTAAGATGAAGAGAATATTTATTCGCATGATCAAACTGTTCAAGATCTCAACCTAAAAAAA